GGACGTGGGGTGGCTGCGGGCTTTCGGGTTCCAGCCTCCGCCCACCACACTGCTGCCCCCCTAACTCTTGGCAGGCGGCGAGAAATTGTTTCAGAAGTCGGGCGGTGGGGCTGAATTTAGAGAGGGGAGGAGGGAACAAATGCAAGGAGATGATGAATAACTTTAACTTTTGACTGTAGGAGTCATGATGGAGTTGAGCGAAGCTGCGGGGAAATATGTCATTTAATCCCAGGGCTACTGAAGTCCCTTTTATCAAACGTCGTGATGCTGGAATTATACTGCTGTAAAAGGGACTGAGTACTTAAAAGTATCCAACATCAGGCAAATGTATAGATTGGAGGAATGGGTGTAAAATGAAGGCACGTACAAACTAATCACAGGACCGTGAAAACCCCAAGAGGATTAGATAAATATAAATAGATTTGCATTAAAAAAAAAAAAAAAAAAGCACGATAAAACTCTAGCTGCTGTAATCACACAAGGAGAACAGACAGCGTGTGCATGTTTGTGTGCAATGCCAAAAAGAGCAGCCTTAAGGTTGACCTACTGCAATCTGCACCGAGCTCCTCAGACAATAGACAAGTTCAAATGTCAAAAAATCTAATAATAATAACCAGAGCTGCCAAACTGCACGAACTGTTTTCTGGTGTATCACAATTATTCACCCTCCCATCCACTAAAAGACTTCCAGTCCTTATGCGTGTAAAAGAAAATCTATGTAATGCATATGGATTTTTTTTTTTTATCACATGTGAAACGCCATTGAGATGGCAAGCACGCAAATCGGAATGATATCATGTCTAATAAAAGCAGGGCTAAGGTTTTCACAGTCTCTTTTAAAAGACTCCAACTTGTAAATCCCCTTTTAATGTCGCTACATGCACAATTATTCTTATTAATAAAAATCTACATGTTCAAGGGTCTGGATTGAAACTATGTATCCCTCTGATTTTAACATCGGTGGGAGCATTAGGTTTCCATCATATGTAATGTGTCTACGTTGGGCTCAAGTCAACAGATAGATTGTTCCATTCATTTGGCAACTCTCATTACAGTCCGTGTGAGGTGAACCCTGAGCAAGACACGTTGGGTAATATCAAAATTATGCAGCTGGGAAATAAAAGAATCTTGCCTTGCATGTGCAGTTCTGTATTATTGTTCTAATTTATTACAGAAGCCGAAATGCTTTGTTATGCTCAAAACAATAAATAAGGTTCCGAGTGAAGCCTTCAGAATAAAAGGTATGGATAAATGATCCTCCTGCCTATTGTGTTTATCGTTATTATCGTTAGCCTTTAAAAGTAATCTGTGTATTTTCCTATTTTCTCCAGATTGGTTAGTGTAATATCCCTAGTGCAGCTATCAACGTGGTCATAAGAACTATGAACTACAGCGTGGGTAAGCTTGCAAAACCCAGAGCAGATCGCATTAGCCAAGAACGCTACATATCTGGAAGCCAGTCAACTTCACGTTTGCAGCTGACTGCTGTATTATGCACGAATGTGTTTTACATATAGCAGACTGTATACGGAATATGTCTTTATGTTTAACATTTTAATTTGTAAATGCTAATTAGGCAGTTGGTCTCCACGGTTATATTAGTACATACCTAATCATTTCCTACTATAAGTAAATGAATACTAAATACAGTAAACACTTTCTTTTCACTATTTCCATGACAGTATCTCTTCTA